AGATAGATAGATAGATAGATAGATAGATAGATAGATAGATAGATAGAGATAGATAGGTAGGTAGGTAGGTAGGTAGGTAGGTAGGTAGATAGATAGATAGATAGATAGATAGATAGATAGATAGATAGATAGATATAGATAGATAGATAGATAGATAGATAGATAGATAGATAGATAGATAGATAGATAGATAGAGATAGATAGATAGATAGATGTGGAGGGAGAGGCACACAGTCTAACCCAAAGGCCATTTTCTTTTCATTTAAGTGATGCATGTAAGTCCTTGACTTACCACAATTCAGCTCCCAAATTTATGTTGCTACGTGAGAAAATTAGTCATGTGAGTTTCACCCTGTTTTACGACTTTTCTTGCCACATTTTGTTAAGGGAAAATCACTGCAGCATTGCAGTGGGGGTGATCTACAGAGTGTCAGGGCTCCGGTAGCTGCTCCCATTTAAATCAGGATGAAGAGGGGGTGGGCCTGGTTCTTCCTCTGTTCTGACCCCTGCTCTTTTCCAACAAATCAAACCCAACCCAAAAGGAACAGAAACCTTGTAATACTTTTACAAAATAATTAGCTGTGATAAGCACAAGCCTTGCCAAACTGTGTGAGACTTGCCCAAAGATATCAGACAAGAAATAATTTGCAATACAAGAATCTTCAAATGCAAACTCAGGATACTGGAATGTCCACGAGGCTGGAGTTTCAAAACGTCTTTGCTTCCTGCAAAGTACGTTCCTTTCACAGCTGGCTTTTATCTTCTTGAAGGAGGGGCCATTACCTTGCAGCCTTACTTCCGAGTCGCCCGTGCTGTTGTAACTGCTCTTTTCTGAGAGCAATCCTGCGCGCACGTGCACTTGGCACAGGCTCCTCGGGAACCTCCTCATCGCTGCTGCCAGCCCCCACAATCTCTGAAGGCAGCAGTCCACTCCCTAATGGTCCTGGCCCCTCATCTGAGTCCTCGCTCTCCTCAGCTGTCTGCACCTGCTGCCAGCTAACCACAATATCCTCTGAACTCCCTCTCCCTTGTTCCTACCTCTCCCTTGTTCCTACCTCTCCCCTGCTCTGCCCAGCCAGACTGTGCCCTTCCCCAGTTTCTTCCACAGCCAACGAGCCACGCTCCCACTCCCTTATCAGCTGTTCGGCTTCCCCCTCCAAGTCAGATTCCGACAGGGCCATGACACACAACTTGCAAGATTTTAGGTATCTCGTGCAATTTTTTTTGATAAAGATGCCCAGGCTGCATATACATTTGACAATCTTTCTGGCTACAGACAGACGGGAGGAGATGCACAGGTGTTCTCTGCAGTGGCTGTTCTAGGCCTCCCTCTGCTCCATATACAAAGGCTCTACACAATGAGTAACAGGCTTGCTAAATTTCTCCAAACTGGTATGAGTCAAGATAACATAATAGCAGCATTTATGCTTACATGTTCCTCTGAGTGAAGAGGCTGCTGTTGGCTGCCAGCTTGTTAGCTTCAGACAGTTCCACTATTCTCTGCTCCAGAGATCTGATCTTCGAATCCATGGCATTGATCATCTGAAGAAAGACATATATATATGTCTTAACACGGCTGTATTAACAGCGGTGTTCAAACCACAATAGATGTGTTCGATTTCTCCAGCCACCCAACTCCACCAATTGACTCTGGGCGGCTTACAGTTCTCAAATTATAAAAACAAGTTTAAAACAAAACAAAACAGATACCCGCTCCAGAATAAAACCAAGGATGACGTTGGCCATCTTCTCAAAATGGCCGCTTCACTAAGCCCTTCTGAGCGTCTCTTCTAAGGGACTTCCTTCTGTCTGAAGGTCATGGAAAATCGCCCTGGAGCTCCTACAGAAATTGCGCGCCCATCTTCCAAACTCTGCTCAAAATATTCTACGGCAGTGATGGCTAACCTTTTCGTCGCTGCATGCCGAAAGTGTGTGTACACACTTGCATCTATAATGCAATGCGCGTGCGACTCCCACTTGCGCGACCCCCCCACACACATCCTGCCCCCACACCAGATACCTGACAATCAGATACCTGACACACCAGATACCTGACAATACCTGGCTGGCGGGAGGCATGCGCATGCATGCACAGTAGACCTAATCTGGGGCGACGGCTCGCGGGCCGGCAGAGATAGCTCTGCGTGCCACTTGCAGTATGTGTGCCATAGGTTCGCCGTCATGGTTCTACGAGCTCGGGGGTGTGTGTTTGTGTGTGGTGGAAGCCCCCCATGGGAATTCCCCAACGCGGGAATTCTCATGAGAATTCCCAACAGCTCCTCCGGCAACGAAAACATATCCTTACACCGGCAATATTGATATGACAATTAGGCGTCTTTAGCTCACGCCGGCAATCTTGCTAAGTCAGGAGCAAGTGCCATTTTACACGTTCGGATGTGACTAAGATCACCTACGAGTCCCGGTGAGTCAACCTAATTGAAGCCATGCATGATCTAAAGAGCAGCCTCCGCTTACCGCTTTCTGCTCGGCGAGGATTTTGCACTTTTCGTGAGCCTCCTCCTCGTGCTTCCTCAGCATGTTTTCCAGAGCGTCTTTGTCTCCCAAGTCTTTCTTCATCTGGTTATCAAGCACCTGCGGGGATTGTGGGAAGGAGGAAACAAGACAAGGCCTTACTTGTAAGGCCTGTGGATGTCCCAACCTAAGACTTGGGTGGCCTCGAGCCATTTCGGGAGAACCCAGAAAAGTGTCGGAGAAACTTGAACAGGAAATTTGCAAAAGTTTTCTGGGGCTGAAAAGGCCAGAGTTGGCCTCTTGAGTGGCATTCCAGATGCTGCATTCAAAAGAAAGCTCACAAAAGGTGTTCAAAATGGACTGTGATGTGTGTGTGTGTGTGTGTGTGTAGCATATGTATATCTATGTGCATGCATGCATATGGAGATGGATGGAGAGAGAGATGACAGACGGACAGACAGACAGATGTAGACAGGTGATAGATGACAGACAGACAGATTGGAATAGAATAGAATAACAGAGTTGGAAGGGCCCTTGGAGGTCTTCTAGTCCAACCCCCTGCCTAGGCAGGAAACCCTACACCACTTCAGACATATGGCTGTCCAATCTCTTCTTTAAAAACTTCCAGTGTTGGAGCATTTACAACTTCTGGAGGCAAATCGTTCCACTGGTTAATTGTTCTAAATGTCAGGAAATTAGACTGGATGGATGGATGGAGATAGACAGACAGACAGACAGACAGACAGATAGATAGATAGATGTGGAGAGAGATAGAGAGATGCTAGACAGACTAGACAGACTAGACAGACTAGATAGATAGATAGATAGATAGATAGATAGATAGATAGATAGATAGATAGGATAGATAGATAAGATAAATAGATTAGGGAGGTAAATAGGTAGATAAGGTATGTAGGTAGGTAGATAAGATAGATAAGATAAATAGATAATATAGGTAGGTAGGTAGATAAGATAGATAAAGATAGATAAGATAGATAGGGAGGGAGAGAGAAAGAGAGAGAGAGAGGGAGAGGGAGGGAGAGAGATTGAGAGCAGGTATCAGAAATTTTATTTTTTAATGTGTGCCAATGTGTTCACAGCAAAACAAATGACAATAAAGGTGATCTTATCTTAAAGCCAAGGTTGAGAAACACGGATATTGGGTGAAGGATTCATTCTCCGAGCTTATGGGTTGGTTTCCAAACATTTCGCTACCAAACTAGGGTAACTGCTTCAGCGGGGGTTTAGGGGATGCCAGCGTCGGGAATTCTAAGGAAGATCGGCCACCAAACCCCACACCACTACAGGCCTTATAGATGTTTCATAACAGGAGCAAAAAAAAACCCATTATTTGAGCTGAAGAGAAAGCTGGCGTGCCCAGCTCAAAAGGCAGCGCTACTTAAAAGAGTCTGATTGCTCCGTTGCCTGGCGCCGCGGACATTATATTTGGCAAGAGTTTTTCATTAGACTCTTTTCTTCGTATTTTCTGCCTGGGTCAACCTGACATCTGAATAGCCCGCCCAACAGTTCCATGGCAATTTGAACCCCACCCTCCTTCTTAACCATCGCTTGCAATGTGTCTTTCTGCATTTTCCCAGGGGGTTTCTTGGACAAGGTCAGCTAACGCAGAAGCGGAGCACAAAGTGGGGAAGAATGGAGACCCCAGAATCGTCCGAGTCAGTTTTCTTCATTTCAGAAGGGATCCCTGGCATAATAACTTATTATTACTTTATTGTCAGAGTATAACATGTGTACAATCAGGTTGGCTGAGCCTCCCTTCGTGCACACACACACACACACACCCAACACAACTCACAGTGAGGACAGAAGTCCCTAACCCAGTCCCACTCTTATGACACTAGGCAAACTTGCTGCACAACCAAGATGTTGCAGAACCAAGATTTTGGCACTCGACGGAACGCCGGCATTGATTTTCTGCCTGGGTGGCATGGTTGTTGAATGTTTTCAGCCGGATGGCTGAGGAGCACACAAGCAGCCAGGCGGTTGCATCAAGAGAAGGACCGCAGCTGGAATCCTCCCCTTGTGTTGTGCATTTCAAGTGTGAGGTTTTGTTTGCAATTTAATGCAACAGCTGAGATAACTGGGCAGCAAAAAACAAACAAAACAACCTACCCTGCATGATTGTGATTTACAGTTTGCTGCACAATTTCAATAGATTACAGAGAGAGAGAGAGAGAGAGAGAGAGAGAGAGAGAGAGAGAGAGAGATTGGGGGGGTATGTGACATCTCTATCCTTGATTTAATTCTTTTTTTATGCCACTTCCTTAGTTTTGGAACCCAAGTTCCCCCACATTTGCTCTAGGGCCCAGGTGGCGAACTGGTTAGAACGGAGTATTGCAGGCTGGCTCTGCCCCACAGACAGCAGTTCGATCCATGAGGATGAGGATGACTCAGCCTTCTATCCTTCTGAGGTCGCCAAAAATGAGGACCCAGATTGTTGGGGGCAATTTGTTGGCTCTGTAAGCCGCTCAAAGAGTGCTGTGAAGCACTATGGAGCAGTATATAACTCTAAGTGCTATTGCTTTTGTGATAGGATAGATAAATGGGTGGATGAATGGTCGAATGGATGGATGATGATAGATAAGAGAGAGAAAGAAAGAGACAGACAGATAAACAGACATAAATACAGGCTCACAGTTGACTCATCCCTCCATCCTTCCGAGGTCAGTAAAATGGAGACCCAGATTGTTGGGGGAAAGAGGCTGACTCTGTAAACCACTTAGAGAGGGCTGTAAAGCATTGTAAAGTGGTATATAAGTCTAAGAGCTAAGTGGGAAGGAAAGAAGGAAGGAAGGAAGGAAGGAAGGAAGGAAGGAAGGAAGGAAGGAAGGGAGGGAGGAAGGAAGGGAGGAAGGGAGGAGAGGGAGGGAAGGAAGGAAAGGAGGGAGGAAGGAAGGAAGGAAAGAAGGGAGGGAGGGAGGGAGGGAGGAAGGAAGGAAGGAAGGAGAGGGAGGGAGGGAGGAAGGAAGGAAAGGAAGGAAGGAAGGAAAGAAGGAAGGAAGGAGGAGGGAGAGAGGAAGGAAGGAAGGAGAGGGAGGGAGGGAGAAAAGAAGGAAAGGAAGGAAGGAAAGGAGGGAGAAAGGAAGGAAGGAAGGAGAGGGGGGGAGGGAGGAAGGAAGGGAAGGAAGGAAGGAAAGAAGGAAGGAAGGAGGAGGGAGAGAGGAAAGAAGGGAGGAAGGGAGGAAGGGCCGTGGTGCACAGTGATTAGAATGCAGCATTGCAGGCTAACCCACTGCTCACCGTCAGCAGTTCAATCCTGACAGGCTCAAGGTTGACTCAGCCTTCCCTCCTTCCGAGGTCCGTAAAATGAGAAGATCCAGATTGTTGGGGTTTGTGAGAGGCTGATTCTGTAAACCGCTTAGAGAGGGGCTGGAAAAGCGGCATATAAATCTAAGGGCCGGTGTGTTTTCCTTTCCTTTCCCCACTCAAGGCAGCAGGGGTGAGAAAAGCCACCTTCCTCCCGAGAATCCAACCCCTTCTTACTTTGAGCCTTTCTTCATACATTTGTTCTTTCTGCTTCAGGTGCAACTCCAGGTGTTGGGCCGCCAACTGAGCTTCCCGGTGTTTCTCTTCCAGTTCCTAGGGAGAAAAATATACCTTTGTTCAGCATCTCAAACTCCAAAGGAAAGGTGGAGACACGCAGAAGCACACCTGCGAAAAATCACCTGCACAAACCCCACGGGTAATTCTCGATTTACATCCACAAACGAGCCCTAAAATTTCTGCCATTAAGCGAGTTTTTCCCCCCCGCTTTTCCCACCATAACAACACAAACAAGCCATTTCTATAAAGATCTATCAACCTAATCGGTAAAACCCAAGGTCCAAGTTTCATTCTTTCCCACTTTAAGGACAACTTTCGGAAGCTTTGTCTCCATGTGGAAACAAAAGTGCTCGTATTCTTTTTTTTTAATCAAAACAGTCCATTTCGCCACTTCTGCAGCCATTCATCCATGGTAGGAATCAAAGTGTTCTTCCATTTTTGTGCATGCAATAGACTTGCTGCCGTCAAAATATATATATATATATATACTAGCTCGATCCCCGTGCTTCGCTATGAAACTATGTGGTCGGGCTTAGTTTTTGGGGAGGAAAATCAGGGAGGGAAAAATTCTGCCTCTGCCTACCAAGCATCCATCGGTATTCGTCTGGCTAGCGTCCTGTCAGTGTGAGTTGAGAGCTGTTTGGAAAGCGAAACGCTATTTGCTGTGTGAGCAAGGAGACAGCTAGCAGCCTTGGGCGTGGCTTAGCTCAACTGTTCTGTGCTAAATCTGCTTGGTGCTCTGAAACTGAAACTCCTCTGCTTGTGTTTTGCATTTGGAAGAGATTTCTTTTCAGGTGGGGAGGGGGAGTAGAGTTGGGAGGGACCTTGGAGGTCATCTAGTCCAACCCCCCCAACCATCCCACCCAAGCGGGAGGACCCTACAAACCATGTCCGATATCGGCGTGCACCCCGTAAACAATTATACGAAGATCGTTCAGTTTGCTTCTTCTTTTTTTTTCTTTTAAATTGGAGACCAGCACGCATATCTCTCTCTCTCTCTCTCTCTGCGATCGGTTTAAACATTATATTCGAAGGCCAGAGCAGCAACAACCACCAACAATAAGAACAACAAAACCACCATCGTGACCTATTTCCCCCAAACGGATAGATCTTTCCAGAAATTTAAAGAAGTGCAAGTCCAAAGCTTGTTGCAGACTCCGGGGCAGAGAGAGAGAGAGAGAGAAAAAAAAATCACTTGAAATCTTCTTTTCCAGAACCTCTGTTGCCATAGCAAGCTGACAGCTTCCACCTACACAGCTAAAAGCCCAGGGAAAACATAAGACTTGCAATGTTTTCTCTTCTTTGAGGGATGGATTTTTTTTTCTTCTCCTTTTTCTTCTTCTTCTTCTTTGATCCCAACTCAAGCAGTCGCTTCCTTCTGAGTGGGGGAAAAAAATGCTCTTTGCTTCTTTTTAGCGGGGGGGCGGATGAAGCTGTTCCCAAACCCATGGGCCGCTGGCGATTCTGCAGAATCTCCAAGGGGAACGTTTTGGGTTAAAACAATGCAAATCCCCAAAACACAGAACCATTCAAGCCAGACCTTGGAGGTCTTCTAGTACAGGGGTCGCTAACCTTTTTGGACCTCAAGGACCAACAAATACGGTTAATACTATTTGATTTGTATCAAAATGTATGACACTCTGGTGCTACGCTGTTCACACCTTGGTATGTTTGTCAAAAATATTTTAAAAAAACAAAACCTTGATATTTAAAAAAAAAAAATGTGCCTGGGCATATAAATGGGCATTTGGACCACCTGTCAGCGCAGGGCCCAAGAACTAGCGAGAAAGAGCGAGAAAGCCTAGCCCAGCCGCACCGTGGATTCCCGTCGCCAGATTATTTCTGGAGAGGAAAGCATTCGAGATGATTAATTCGGTCCGTCTCCAACACGGAAAACCCAGCAGATTTCGGGATGGCGGGTGAGGATTGCCAAGGCTCCTCCAGCTTGGCTTTGCAGGCTTTTACCGTCACGTCACTCCAACATATTGTCGGGCAGGGACTTTAGGAAACACCCTTTGTTTTGAGCTGGGGAGCTTCTGTCGCGGCAACTGGAAGCGGAGCCTCTTCCATGGGGGACGCTGTGGGAAAGGCCCCCCGGGGGAAATTGGGCTCAACGGGGGGGCTCCCAACAGAAGACAGCGGGGTTGGGCTGGAAGCGTCATTATTTCTGGCATCTCCAAGAATTAATTAGTTACTTAATTAATTCTTTCCTTTTTTTCTTTTTGTTTCTTTTTGTTTCTTTTTTTCCCCTTCTCCATCCTTTTTCTTTCTTTCCTTTCTTCTTTCTCTCCCTCTTTCCTTCCTTCTTTTTCCTTTTTCCCCTTCTTTCCTTCCTTTCTGGCTTCTTTTTCTTTCTTTCTTTTTTTCCTTCTATTTCCTTCCTTCCTTCTTTCTCTTTCCTTCCTTCTCTCTCTTTCCTTTCCTTACCTCTTTCTTTCCATTCTTTTTTCCTTCTATTTCCTCCCTTCCTTCTTTCTCTTTCCTTCCTTCTTTCTCTTTCCTTCCTTCCCTCTCTTTCCTTTCCTTCCCTCTTTCTTTCCTTCTTTTTTCCTTCTATTTCCTTCCTTCCTTCTTTCTCTCTTTCTTTCCTTCCTTCTTTCCTTTCCTTCCTACCCTCTTTTTCTGTCTTTCTTTCTCTCCCTCCCTCCCTTCCTACCCTCTTTTTCTATCCTTCCTTCTCTCTCTCTCTCTCCCTTTCTTCCTACCCTCTTTTTCTTTCCTTCTTTCTTTCTCTCCCTCCCTCCCTTCCTTCTTTTCTTCATCACGTTTTCAAGAGGAAAAAAAAACCAAGGAAGTCCAGTTGCCTTTTGAAAAGCCCCATTGTGTCAACAAACTAGAGTTAATATGAGGCAAGACTGTCACCTACGAATATGAATGTATAAATACTCTTTATTGGGGCGGATTTTCATGGTTTACGGGTTGCTGTCAAACACCCCTGAGGAAGTTCGAAGGTTGGTGTCTTCTTTAAAACAGCAACCACATCACTTGTTCAGCCTCATGGACCCAGGGCATTATTAACAAGGAATCCTTGATACATTTTACCTGCAGAAGGTTATACATTTGAAATCTTCGGCTTCTTTTTCTGTCTTTAACACTTCCCACCAAACATCTCTCATTCCGTTTGAAAACTCCCTTCTTTTTTTTTTCCATTGCTACCCACCAGAATTTTATCAGCCATCTGCTGGATTTGCTGAGATTTTGTCTGGATATCTTCTTTCAGGCGGTTCTCTCGCCGCTCCACCGTCTCCAGACGCTTCACTTGGTTTTCCAGAGAATGGCGTCTTTCCTAGACAAAAGTTCAAACAAGAAGGCAGAGTGAACCCACACCACGGAAAAAAAATCCGGATAGTCACCCAACGTTTTGCTATCACAAGAAGACCAGATTCAGAAGCTTGGGGTCAGCGTTCCAGCAACCCTCCATTCCAACCAGTAGGTTCCTTTATTTGGATAGCAACTGGCACATCTGTGGAATCCCAAATCTGAAAGTTTCTGTGATGACCCAGGGTGGGATACAAAACAAACACAGTCACAGAAAACAGGGGAAGCCCCTTTTATTCCTTCACTTTGCTTCCACACTCCGAATATTCTTGACGGAAGACAAAAAAACTCCCCCACAAACAGTTACAAGAAGAAGGAAAAAAGCAACACAAACCAGGCAAGATAAGGGCTGGAGGACGTCCACAGATAACACACACTGGGAAGGACGCCAAACTCAGAGAGGAACCATAAACTAGAGATATTTCCATGCTTTGTTTCCAGCACTGGCCCATACGCATGTCCGTCCTCTTATTCAGTTGTCACAGCTGCAGCCCATGAAAAGGATCAAGGCCCTCTCCTCCCCAGTAGACCACGTCTCTCCCTGATCCTCTCCTCCCTGCGTGCCCTAGGATGGAGAGGGGGTGGGCCTGGGTCCTCCTCCTGACTGCCCAACCAGCCTCTGCCCTTCCCCAACCTCCTCCCCAACCTCCAGAGCCGCACTTCCACTCCCTGTCGGCTGTTCCTCCTCTCCCTCAGAGTCAGTCTCCACCAGGGCCATGACAGTTTCAGTCTTCCTTGCAAAAGTCCAAACTACAAATCCATCCCCCCTCACCCATCTCCACATCACATGGTCCAATCCCCATCTGTCCTAAAGTCAGGTCCCCATTTTATTATGCGCCACCCTCCGTGACCTTGAACCAGCAAAATAATTTTATTTTGTCTAACTAGATATAGACTCAAAATGAATTCCCCC